CCCCCCCCCCCCCCATTTTACTCTATGAAGTGGCTACGAAAGAGTCACACAAACAACATGATAATATTTTGGCCTCGGTTTTAGTGAAACGGTGGTAAAGACCAGAAAACAGCGATTACAAATCCACTAATTTAAATTAAGTGGAAAATCAGGGACTTGATTAAGGAGAAGAATAGAAATTCCTTTAAGTCAGATATGGTAAAAGTATGTTGAACTTGTATTCCAAATAAGAAAAACACTAGGGGAAAGGTTTTCTGTCCCAACTGGATAAATAACTGTCCCAGAAAGCATGTGAGGCATAAATAGTGAGCCTTCAGGGAATGAAATGGAAAAGGACTAATCACCAACTGAAGTTGAGTGCAAAAGTCAAAAGCGTAAAAATGAAAACAAATGGAAAATATTATTTGGTGATTAAATAGAGAGTGAAGGAAAAACAGGACATTGGAATGGGATAACGGAATAAATAGTATCTTTTCAGCATTGCTCCAAAACTACAAATGAATTTTGTCCCTTATCAGTAGGGATCGGGATGCTGCAGGTGATACTAGAGGCAAAAGTGACTAACAGGAGAGAAGTGTGAGAGGGAAATAACTGCAGCCAAGAGGGAAGCAGAACCCACAGAGTTCAATTAATTTAGACTGAGAGACAGGGATTTGGGAGGTAAGAGTAGGTAATTTCAGTCCCAGAATTCTGAACAAATTGAGATGTTTAACTGAAGGTCCAGGATCAGTGTTTGTTCTTTTGTTTAGTTTTTTATGGAAACAGATGCAAGAGAGTACAGTATTCTTGCAAACATGCAAATGTAATAGTTAACTGTGTTATTTAGCTCTTAGCTGGGTTGTGAATTAACTGGGTAGTGGACATTGAGACATTGCAGTTAGCTGTGTGCAAAGCCACTTTGTGTCTGCTGGTGTTCAGTCACTGGTATATGGAGTTGGGTGAATGAGAATATATTGCTTTTGGGTCAAAGTCTGATCAGCAAAGGGTTTAGGTGTCCTTCAACACGAAGTCTGAGCTGTAAACTCTGAACCAGTGGCACAGTGAAGAGACACCCAGCTAGGTTTGCAGGACTAGTCTGAATATGATACGACCTGCACAGAGGAGCCAATGGGCCATCTCAGCCTCAAAATGCTTCTGGCATAAAACCATAGTCTGAATTTCTGAAAGGGAAGAAGGAATCCTGGGCCATCTGCAGAATGGTCACTTGCACAGCAAAAGAAGAACAAAGGTAATGGAAAGGACTCACAATTATCTTTATTATACAGCTGTCCTTGAAGAAGTGCTAAGAGTGCTTCTGTGTTGTGCTCCACAATATATTGCCTTCAAGAATGGCATGTTAACTTAGTGGCACCCAGCTCAGATTTAGCACTCTAAATTTACTGGTCCTTCTGCAAAACAAAAGCTACATCATTAATTTGAGCATCAAAATTATCCAGATTTTCTTCTTGAGTGAATTATATGGTATGTTGACTGCAGAAGACTGAAGATCAGTGGAAGAATTATAAGATGGGGGTGAGAATCTAGTTAAAGGTGATCTATTCTAGTTTGTTAAGAAAAAGGGTATTCTTGGGCTGTAAGGAAATTATTAGTAGACTTTTGTGAGGAGGCAGATCTTGTGTAATATTTTAATTAATGATTGTGTGACAAAAAAGGGAGTGTATATTCATTAAACTGATGATGTGGCTGAGAGTCATATGTGCTTAAGAGGATCAAGATATCTAGGAGAAGATGAATGATCATGAGCATTAGAGGAATAGATATGGATAACCATTACACATGGTGTAAGTTGCAAAATCAGGCAGGCATTAGGACTGAGGACTAATGCAGCACATTCTGCTACAATCTGGAATCTTTCTGGTTGTGGATGTCCAGAGGACAACTGCCAATGAAAAAAGGCAGCAGTGGTTCTTCAATGAATTGGGAACGTCTCCTACAAAGGAAAGAAAGCATTCACGCTGTTGTACAGGGTCCTGGTGAGACCTCCAGCATACCTACTGTGTGTGTTTATGGTCAGTTCTTTTTATTTGAAGTTTTTGAATACAAGGTCTACTAGAATGATAAGGCTGATGGAGGAGATATTGCTGTAAGAGAACAGACCAGTAGGACTTGGTTTATTTAGCAAAGGCTAAATGTGAGAGGCTATATGCGTGTGATAAATACACTATGGGGTACTGATGTGGAAGTAAAAGAATCTTCTAAGATATAAGAAAAAACAGAAATAATTTAATGTTAATAAATCCACACTGGGAAGCAGAAGAAAATTAAACACATTAGGTGAAGAGACAGAGGCACGGACTCTCTGTACAGTGTGAACAGACAGACCAAGATAACACGCACCTCCTAAAGCTCCTGCTGGAATACCTGGCCATGCCCGGTCTTCACAGATCAAAACCAATCCTTCTGGTAGTGCAAAAGCATGTTGTGGGGAGCTCATGTTACTCTAAAGACCTCTGTTGCAATATGCGGTATCATTCTGATACCATTTTTCAGCTGAATTTACCCAAAGTGAATATTTGGATAAGTCAACAATGGAGATTTTCCCTGTTGGGTTTGATCCAAATTTACCATTGCTATCCTCATAAGCTCTGTTCCTCTGAACATCACACAACTCTGGTTATTTGGCATGGAGCCGAGAAGGTCCAGTTCTTGTGGAGGTAACATGGTTACATTCAACTTTTCTATAATCAATGCTGCTTGAATTGCCTCTGGGAGATTAGGGTACTGATGCCTTATGGTTGTCCACTTTCCACAGAGACCTCTCCATGTCCTATTGCAGATATTGATAATCTGGGTTTCATTGATAGTCAAGATAGTCTCGTCCTTTACCCACCCTGTAAATTGTGTAGGATGAAACGTTGGGATGCCTATGAGGCAGGTATGAAATGGATTGTCAGGTGTAGACACAGATAAGCATAAAGAATCCTGACCCATTTGATTGTCTAAAGTTACCCGTGTGTTCTGTCTCAGCAGCGATCGATGCAGTTGATGTAGTTTCATTCCAGTCGTAATTCTCGGAACAAGGATGATCATGACAGTGCAGAAGGCACAGTCGAGTCTTCTTCCAGTGCTGCTTTCACCCATTTGGCTGGTATCCACGTGGGTTCTGACCCTGTAATGACACAAACATAACCTCTTCCCCACATTATTAACTGATAAGGACTTTCCCATGATTCTTCTCTATTTTTGATTAAAACTTTGACAGAGTCTGTTGATTCGACCAAACCTGTTGACATAGACTGTGTATGTTTTACTATAGGTGGAATAAGATCATCACCTGCAAGATGCAAAAAATTAATTACATACTGTAACTTTGCTAGTCTATTTACTGGAGTTTGTCCAATTCCCCCAGTTTTGTTTTTGTAAATAATTTTTGATCATGTGATGGGTACGCTCAATGATTGCTTGTCCTGTGGGAGAATAAGGAATACCTGTAATATGTTGAACACCCCATTGTCTGAGAAATTTTTCAGTGGAGTGGGACACATATGCTGGACTATTTTTGGTCTTTATTTTTTGTGGAACACCTAGAGTAGCAAAAGCATGGCAAAAATGAGTTTGTACATGTCTCGTCGACTCACCACTTAATGCAGTCATACAAACAGCCATTGAAAACGTATCAATAGATACGTGAACATATTTTAGTTTACCAGATTCAGAAATATGAGTGACATCAGTTTGCCACAACTGAAAACAACCCTTTAGGGTTAACTGCCACAGCAGTTGCTTTTGAAATTTTTTGACAGTCAGGACAAGACTGAACAATAGCTTTAGCTTCAGATGGTGGAATACTGAATTGTTTTTTAAGAACTTTGGATGATTGGTGAAAAAATTCATGTGAAATACGTGCCTGTTGCCATGTATTTGGCACTGGTGAGAGGAAAACTGGCCAAGTAAGAATGCTGGCACAGGCATTGCCTTCTGCACAAAACCCAGGCAAGTTTGTATGACTTCTATGATGGCAAATATAATATACTTTTACTCTGACAATAAATGCCATAATTGCTTCAGTAGAGTAAACAATTGCTGATTATCAAGGTATTTCAAATCACTTCTCTCAACTCTTTGAACTAGGCCTGCAACATATACACAGTAACAATGTTCACTGGATTGTCATGCCATAGTTCAAAGACCATTACTACTGCTTTTAATTCTACAATTTGTGGTGAAGCTTGAACAATAGAAACTTTAGATTTCCACTGTCCTTGCTCTAACCATGTGAGAGCAGCTTTTCCAGTGCGACCAATACTGTCAGTAAAGACAGTAGGTCCTTGTATGGGTGCGGGACTTAGTTTTGGCTTTAATTCTAAACTGTGTTGACCAACAAATGTCAGCATTCTGCTGCTAGGATGATGTATTTGTAATTTCCCAGTAAAACCTGATAATGCAATTTGTAAATGCAGATTGTTCTGTAGAGACCATTGCAAGTAGTTCTCTTGCACTGGTATGACAATAATTTCTGGTTCAATTCTATTCAGCTCTGTAATGCGATTACGACCTTTTATAATTAACTGTGCAAACATTTCTGGCCTTGTGGTAACCATTTTAGAAGGCTGATGTGACAGAAAAATTTACTTTATAATTTTGAGCTTATTATTTTCAGGATCATAGTCAATCCATTGAGATATCAATCCCAAGGGCTGATAACTGTTATTGATAAGAATAAGGTGCAAAGGACATTGATATATTATTCTGTGTGCTTGTTGATGGCTTATTAATTGACTTATTTTTTCAATGGCCTGAGTCACAAGTGGCATTAATTGCCATGGGGTATTGAGATCTATGTCCCCTTGCAACAAATCAAATAATGGATGTAATGTCTGATTGTCAATACCAATTAATGTTCAAATCCAGTTAACGTTCCCTAACAATTTTTGCAGATCATTTGAAGTCTTAATGTCTGTGTTTATAATAACTTGTTGAGGTTCAGTTGTGTGATCTAATATTTTCCATCCTAAATACTTCCATGGCACTGAAGTCTGTACCTTTTCAGGAGCCACTTGTAAGTGAGAATCCTGCAATGTTAGAAAAAGAACATTTTTTACTTTATCCCTAATGTGCTGACCAGATATTAAGATATCATCCATATAATGATACACCAAAAATTGAGGATACTTATTCCTAAAAGATCATAATGCTGCACTTATAAATTGCTGGCAAATCATCAGAGAATTTTTCATTCCTTGAGGTAAAACTGTCCACAGATACCTGTCCATAGGTTCCTGCTTCTTAAGTGAGGGTACAGAAAAAGCAAATTTACCTGAATCTTCAGGATGAATAGGAATGGTGAAAAAGCAGTCTTTCAAGTCAATTATTAAAATCTCCCAATCTTTCAGAATCATTGAAGGAGACGGTAGACCTGGTTGCAGTGCACCCATGTCTACTATAGCCTCATTGATCTTTCATAAATCATGGAGTAACCTATATTTTCCTGATTTCTTTCGCATAACAAACACAGAAGTATTCCAAGGACTAGTTGATCTTTTGATATAACCAGCGTCCAATTGCTCTTTTCCTAAATTTTGTAAAATTGTGACCTTTTCAGTGGTTAATGGCTACTGATCTACCCAAACTGGTTTCTCTGTTTTCCACTGAAGTTTGAGTACAGGTTGCTGATCAGTAGCCATCATTGAAAAGGCTGAGTAGTAACAATGCACTTCATTTGTTGTAACAAATCTCTTCCTATTAAATTGATTGGAATATATATTACATAAGGTTTTGTCATACATTTCAAACCATTGGGCATGTAAAACAATAATATTTTACTAGTTTTAGTGGCTGTATTTCCACCAATTCCCATAAGTGAACCCAGGGCATCAACAAGAGGCCAGGACTTTAGCCATTGTTTCTCAGAAATCACTGTTACATCTGCTTCTGTGTCAATTAACAGTTCTATCTGCTTTGACACCTCTCCCCTAGAATCATCATAACCATTAATTTAGGTTTGGAACTGTGAATTTCTAAAGACCACATAATTTGCTGATCTTGTCCTGTAGAGCCAAATCCACTGTGACCTCTGATTTTTGAACTTGTTACTGGTGCTTGTTTTTTGAATGGTACTAATTGTGCAATCCGAGACCCTTTTGGTAAAAAACTGGAGGACTTGGAGTCAAGACCATTACTTGAATTACTCCTTCATGATCTATGTCAATTACTCCAGGCATAACAAATATGTCTTGTGTTGTTATACTTGATCTGCCCAATAAAAGAGCACTAAGTCCAAATCCTAAGGGTCCATGTGCATTAGTAAGTATCTTGTGAACTCTGGAGACTATTATGGTTGTATCTTCTGTCATTGTTACATCCACTCTGGCACTGCCGCTAGTTCTTGCTGCAAGCTATTGCAGACATCCTGCTGATTGGTTGTCAGAAGGACTTGTGTCTGTGCGTGGTCCTGCCTCGTGCTCTTCTTTCAGTTTCTCTGATTCTGCATAGGCAAAGGATGTCCCTCACGATCGAAACGAGATTGACATTGTTTAACAAAATGTTTTCCTTTTCGACATCGTGGACAAATTCCTGGAGGTTTAGTTTGAGGAGGTTGATTAGACATTCGTGATTTTCCTTGTCGACATTGCCAACTAAAAGGACCAGTTTTTCCACAGGAAAAACATCGGCGTTGCTCTCCTCCTGTTTTCATGGCAGCAGCAAAAGCCCCTGCTAAGACTTTTGCATTCTCTTCCATTGTTCCTACACAATTGGCAGCTTTCACCAGTTCTACTTATGTGGCATTTCTAGGTAAATTTAACAAAACTCTCCTACAGTCCGGATTTGCATTCTCAATAGCTAATTTCAATAGTAATGCATCTCCAGCATCAAGATTATCCACCTCTTTGTAAACAGCATCTCTTAATGCATCTATGAATGTCTGACTGTTGTAAAAGACACTGCAGTTTTGCCTGCTCATATTGCCATTCTGGTTGAATCTCGTAAGATATCAACTTGCAATCGAGCTTGCGCTTGTGGATCAGCAAACACTCCCGTTCCTGTGTAATGATGTACTCCTACACCACACAAAGGATCGCCTGGTTGCTTTCCAAGAATTTCTACAGCCTTAGCTTCAGCATACTCCATATATTTATCTCTCCATAATAGTTTTTGTGTTGGTGTTAGTATCATAGTCGCTAATTGATGACAATCAAATGGTGTAATGAGTTTTCCACACAGCACATTTTCTAACAATGACTGTGTAAATGGAGCTTACAAACCTGCCTCCATGACTGCTTTTCTAACCTCTTTTACTAATCACCAATCGAACGGCTGAAACTGTGGTGGACCATTAGGCTGAAGCACCACAGGAAAGATCATTCGTATCAGTTCTCCCTCCTTGATACTGTCCAACTGAACTTTTCTCCATTGTTCCCAAAATGGATCAACCTTTTGCCGTCCCTGTTTCTTAAAGCTGTGCTGGTTATCATTACTCTCATCGTCCGAGCTCAAGCTATCGAATGCAGGTGGGTCTTGCCAGCATACTTGTTGTTTTCCTTTTTTTGATTTACCTTTTTAACAAGATATTTGGTTTTAGTATTGTACTCTACATTATCATTTTCATTTTCAGTTGATGGACCACTGATATCATTATCATTGTCAGAACTCTGTCCAGACACTTCAGTTGCTTTTGTTACACTGCTTTCACCTGTATCAGGTGTATCCTCACAAGGAGCACTGGCATTGTCAAAAACTCATTGAGCCTCTTGATAATTTTTCTTTCTGAATGTAAGTCTACTAAAGTCTCATATACCAACCACCACGTCGTTAAGACTTTGACAGCATTTGAATCCCCTTTGGAGGCATAGTCAAAAAGATCTCCTGCCCTTTTCCATGGTCCCAGTTCAAAAGCCTGTGGCATCTCTGCAGGTAGATTTTTTCCTTTTAACCATGCTAACAGAAAAGTCAAAGTTTTTTCATCATATGCTACACCTCTTTTCTTCAGAATATGTTTCAAAATTTTTACTACTGCTTTTTCATCACTTGACATACTATTTCCCATTGCATTTCTCGGTTGCTCACTTGTTAACAGATGCAGGTGATTGTGGTCACATAATCTTCTCTTTTCCTTTGGTTCCTGACTGGTCCAGCCAACAGGAGATTGTTCAACTGAGACGACTCCTCCGGAACACTATTGTTCTTCTGTCGGTGTGTCGTTTAAGACCGTCACATCGGGGTCACTATTTGAGGAGAGAGAGGCATGGACTCTCTGTACAGTGTGAACAGACAGAGACCTTTATTGTTATTAACACTGAGAATTTATATAATCTTCAAAGCTATGTCAGTAAGCACGAGTAAGGCTGCGTTATAATTATTGGTTACAATGTATTGTGCATTTGCTGTCCACGTACTCTAGTCTACACACTGATTGGCTAAGTTAAAAAATTAACTTTACTGTCAGCATCCTGGTTATCAGTCCTTTAGTTCTGCAACTCTGCATTTTCTTGTTTATCAGCTGCCAACTTTCTTCAGTCGTTCTTTATTCTTCAATCAAGGACATCATCGAGCCAAGATGTCCATTTTCTGCTAAAAAGCTCTCCACAATTAGGTGCTTGAGCGGTCCCTTTGGAGAAAACATGATAAAGTTATGGAAGAGTTCTACATTGTAAGCCAAAACATAATCACTTATGTTAGCAGAGGTTTGACCCAGAAGGTGGAATCAAGAACCTCTATTCCAAAAAGTCTTTTATAAGATCATAGAAACATCTTTCTAGAACCATACTAGGATAAGGCAAAAAAAGTGTCAGTACTTTCTCTTCCCCTAAACCACTCAATGGAACTCAATTTCACCTTATTTTGTTTTCTTAACCACGCTAATATCTCCTTGTCTGGGTGTAATGTATATCTATATTCTGTATAAGGTCACTTTCAATGAATGATCTGGAGTTTGTTAACAAAAACATGCTCTCAGTTGTAATTTTTAGGCTGTAGGGAACCTTCAGTCAATTTCATAATCTGAAAAGGTGCAAGATATACACTGTTCCTAATTACATTGGTCAACTTTTGCACATTTCCCAGAAAATATAAAATAAAAACCTCCAAGTCAAAGAGCTTCCACAGCTTGATTATTTATCTTATTATGCATATTTAAGTCTTCTAAATCTATCTGTGAGAAATCGACCTTTCTCATTTTACTGATTCCTTTTCTTAGTCTCCAAGATCTTTGTCTACTTCAGCTTGCCAGTAGAGAAGATAGTAAAAAACTGAATATGGTTCTTCTTAATTTCATCACCGTGGTTTAAATTTTCATGTAGGGCTCCTGAGGTATTTAAATCCAAAGTTCAAAATAATGTGGTGGTGCAGCAAAGAAAGTTGTTTGCTGCTTCAAAGAGAACAGTAGCACTACTGCTCACCAGAAGGCTGAGATGCTTGGTAGAGTACCCTCCCAGGGCGGGGACTCTTGCCCTTTTGGCAAGAGTCATCTTCTTAAGGCAAATCCATCCACTCAAGTATGGTCAAGAAAGAAATGAAAAGACAAAACTTCTCCTCACTTGGTTCAATCATTCCAGCAACTTAAGAACAAAGTTAGGTGTTGTCTGCACTTATTTCAGTAGGTTGA